AAAAAACCAGTCAGCACCAAATCGGCAAATGATCTTTCCAAGAAAAGCCTTGCTTCAACATCTGTCTTAGGACCGACTAAAACTGCGAAAGGAAGTGAGACCTAAAAGTTTTATATCTTGTATTGCTATGGATGAGAGAGGTGGAATGAAGCAAACCTTTTTCCCAACTAGTTCCAAACCACAGTTTGTTTTTAGTCGTATGCTGTAGCACAGACAATATCGCTTTGAAGCAACAGAATCCCGTCGGAGCTGCACTTTCTTGGCAACACGCTAAAAGATTTGAATTTCTTTTATATTCCTGCTTTTAAAAAATCGAGGGGTACCATGTCATCGAACTTAGCTCGCAAGCCCCTTGTATCTTTTTTTTGAAACACGGCCGATGGCGGCTCAATGCAAAACTCTTCGGATTCAAATCTAAATGCTCATCTTTAGCAAGTTGAAGTAGTGCCCATTGCTATATCTTTCAAGTGCTGTCCAATTTTGCCTTAAAATTTCTTGAAAACTATATCTTTTTTAAAGGTGTTGCTATGATTAGTACATTAAAAAGTGTGACGAAGAACCGTTTGTGGCGCAAAAAGCTAATTGTGTAACGAAACTACTACCTACATTTCCAAGTATGCGTTATTCAGAAGTTGTTTTGCCGTATCGTCTGTGATGAGATAACATTTGACATCGATGCCTTCGCCCACTGCTTCCACACCAAACGCCTGCCCTCCTAATACTCTGAAAATCTCGTTCTAAGGAGCAATTAGAAGTTCATGTAAAATTCCTTTGTAATTTGTCATAAATTATCTCCCGAATGTCTTGCTAATCTGTTGCCGTCATTCCATCATTAAGTTAATACCTTATTTCTGTATTGAACCAAAACCGACTCCTCCGATGGTTTTCTGCTTCTCCACATTTCACAATGACGGAGGGTGGTTGCCTACTTACAATAACTGAGTAGTACAGAAAATAGTGTGCCATGCTGCAGAACTTGTTGTATGCCTAAAATTGACGAATATTTTCTTAGGTATTTTTTTCAATTGCAAATTTGTAATGAGTGGCATCTGAATAACAACTTTGTTTGCTGTCACAAGGTCTACCCCC